TTCAAGCCCCACGACTGACAAAAAAAAAAAAAAAAACAAAGCCAGCCCAGGCAGCAAAGTCCTTGAGAGTCTTATCGCCAATTAAGCACCAGAACACCAGAAGTGGTGCTGTGGCTCAAGTGGTAGAGTGCTGGCCTTGAGTTGAAGAGCTCAGGGACAGCACCCAGACCCAGAGTTCAAGTCCTACAGCTGACACCCTCCCCCCCCCCCCCCAAAAAAAAAGGAGATTGAGATCTGAAGATAAAGGTTCAAAGCCAGCCCAAGCAAGAAGGTTCCTGAGAGTCTTATCTCTAATTAACCTCCAGAACTCAGGGCTTGGGCTCTGTCCTTAACCTTTTTTGCTCAAGGCTAGTGTTCTAACACTTGGAACCACAGCCCTACTTCTGGCTTTTTCTGTTTATGTGGTACTGAGGGAACCCAGGGCTTCATGCATGCTAGGGAAGCACTCTACCACAGAGCCACATTCCCAGCCCCAAGAGTATGTTTCTTTTTGGACAGTATCACCCCTTCCCTCTCTCTTGGGAATTACTTCTTAAGTAGTAGGAAAGGAAGGAACAAAACAGGTTGTCTTCGCACCATGTGTGTTCCAGGTACTAGTTCAGCCCTCTAAGTGAAGCTTTTACTCCTTGGGTGGAAGAGGCTGGGCCTGGGACACTGGAACCCTAGGTTCCCTCTGTGGATGGGGTTAGATTCCATCTAGCATTCCCTAGTGGCTGCCCTTGGGCCTGTCAGTCTCTCTGAGTTTCTTTGAGTTCATTAGTAAAATAATAATAAGGACCCTGTGATTGGACAGTCTTTGAAGCCCCAATCTTAATTTCTTGTGTAGGTGAAAATTGCTGTTATTGTATAATGGTTATTATTAGACAACATCCAACAGCTGCTTATTATGTGCCAATCATTGTGTTAAGTACTTCACATTTACTGTCTCTTGAATTTTGTCCCTTTTGATGCTGGTTCTGGGGCTTGAACTCAGGGCCTGTGCACACTTCCTGAGCTTAGGACTCTACCACTTGAGTCACAGCTTTGCTTTGGCTTTTATTTATTTTTGTGTGTGTGGTTAATTTTTTTTTTTTTTTGGTCGGTTATGGGGTCTGCACTCTGGGCCTGGGCGCTGTCCCTCAGCTCTTCAGCTCAAGGCTAGCGCCCTACCAACTGAGCTACAGCGCCACTTCCAGCTTTTTCTGCTTATGTGGTGCTGAGGAATTGAACCCAGGGCCTCATGCATGCAAGGCAAGCACTCTACCACTGAGCCACCTTCCCAGCCCTGTGTGGTTAATTTGAAGATAAGAGTCTCAGGGACTTTCCTGCCTAGGCTGGCTTCAAACCACTATCCTTAATTCTCAGTCTCCTTTGAAGCTAGGATTACAGTGTGAGCCACCATCATTGGCTTCATTTAATCGTTTCTGTGTATATGCTGGTTTTGGTCTTGAACTCAGGGCCTGGGCACTGTCCCTGAGTTGTTTTGCCCTGGGCTAGCCCTATACTACTTTTTTCAGAACTATACTATTCTTTTCAGAAGTGAGCCACAGCTCACTTCTGGCAGGCAAGAGTCTCCTGTCTGCACTGGCTTTGAACCTCGATCCTCAGGATCCTTAAATGTCAGTTTCCTGAGCAGCTAAGACTACCCACTGGCACTAGCATTCAGCTCTTTTGGATAAACCCTTATTCCCTTTTTCACCAACTCACTGTAGATATTTATTACCTGCTCAGGGAAACTTTTTTCTTTTTTTTGTCATGGGGCCTTAACTCAGGCCCTGAGCACTGTCCATTGTCTGGGAACTCTTTTGCTCAAGGCTAGTGCTTTACCACTTGAGCCACAGTGCCACTCCAGTTTTCTGGTGGTTAATTGGAGATAAGAGTCTCATGGACAGGGCTGGGAAGGTGGCTCAGTGGTAGAGCGCTTGCCTTGCATGCCTGAGGCCCTGGGTTTGATTCCTCAGCACCACTTAAGCAAAAAGAAAAAAGGTGGAAGTGGCGCTGTGTCTCAAGTGGTAGAGGGCTAGCCTTGAGCTGAAGAGCTGAGGGACAGCACCCAGGCCCAGAGTTCAGGCCCCACGACTGGACCCAAAAAAAAAAAAAAAAAGTCTCATGGACTTTTCTGCCCAGGCTGGCTTTGAACTGTGATCCTCAGATCTTAGCCTCCTGAGTAGCTAGGATTACAGGTGTGAGCCACCAGCACCGGGCTCACTTCTGGTTTTTTTTTTGTTTTTTTTTTTTGTCGGCCGTGGGGCTTGAACTCTGGGCCTGGGCGCTGTCCCTCAGCTCTTCAGCTCAAGGCGAGCGCTCTACCACTTGAGCTACAGCGCCACTTCCGGTTTTCTGGTGGTTTATTGGAGATAGGAGTCTCACGGTCTCTCCTGCCCGGGCTGGCTTTGAACCGCGATCCTCAGATCTCAGCCTCCTGAGTAGCTAGGATTACAGGCGTGAGCCACCAGCGCCCGGCTTCACTTCTGGTTTTTATGTGGTTAGTTGGAGATGAATCATGGAGACTTTTCTGCCCAGACTGGTTTCAAACCATGATCCTCAGTTCTCAGCCTCCTGAGTGGTTAGGATTACAGGCATTAGCCACTGGTACCTGGCGGGAAGCTTCCTTTGACCCTACCAATACCTTGGCATTCACTTTCATAAACACATTGCCCTTTGCCTTTTTGTTCCTTATCAAAGTTTCTAGCTGTTTGGATTTGTCTGATCACTTGTTTAATTACCTCTCTCTCTCCCTCTCTCTCTTTCTCTCCCTCTCTCTCTCTTTTGCCAGACTTCAAGCTCCATGAGGATCTGAGACTGGTTCACCATTGTCACTTTTCTGCACTGCACATTTAATACCATCTCTTGCTGAGTGAATGAATCTATAAAGGAGGGAAATACGTGACACTTCACATATGACTCATTTATTCCACAAGTAACTCACCTATCCTTACAACTACCCCTTGCCTCCATTTTGGAGAAGAGGGAAGGCTCAGAGGGCTTTTGGATTTGATTTCAGGTCTGTCTGACCTCAAAAGTCACTGCCTGTAGCACTGGTGCCTCCCAGTACTCAACAGTCACAGGCAGTCATTGGTGATCAGACCATGTGTCCCATGAAGCCTGGAGGATACCAACCCATTTGTCCCTGGGGCCCAGAAGACACTGCTCACATGGGTCATGTGGAAGTCTCTGGCCTTCTGAAAGGCCACAACTCCTCCCACTTCCTTTTTTTGTCTCATTTCTTTCCACAGAAGGAAAAGGAGGAGGAAATATAACCAAGGCATCCCTTTTGGGGAGAACAATCCTGGGGTGAATAGATCCCTGTTCTGAGGGCTGGACAGGCCTGGATTTAAGTTGGGGCATGAGGCCTCCCTGTGGAGGACTCGGTGATGTCCTTATATAGAATTCTGCTTAGAAAGTGATCCACCTGTTCTCTTACTCAGCTGGGACTCGCAGGGTCGGAGAAAATTGGACACACCACAGGTTCACTTTCTATAGCCATGGTGGTAATTAACAGTAGTAGTGGCGGTGATAATCTGTGTCTACGTCTATGGTAACCAGAGTGGGGAGATTGGCCTGGTACCCCTAAGACTGTCTTTGGCTTATTAAGGGAATAGGTGGCCAGGGAAGATTTTTCCCAGGTGATGCTATGCCTGGGGGAGAGGGAGCAACATAGAAACAGAAGCTAAATGATGCAAATGATACAAGTATTTATTTTTTTCCTTGTGCCAGTCCTGGAGCTTGAACTCAGGCCCTGGGCACTGTCCTTGAGGTTTTATGCTCAAGGCTAACCCTCTACCATTTGAGCCACAGCTTCTCTTCTGGCTTTTTTGGTTGCTCATTGGAGATAGTCTCACCAACTTTTCTGCCCTGGCTGACCTTGAACTACGATCCTTACATCTCAGCTTCCTGAGTAGCTAGGCTTACAGATATGAGCTACTGGTGCCTAGCAATGATACAGGTTTCAGTCCCAAAGTTGTTCCTAATTTCCTGGTGACCCTGGGAAAACTATGCAAGGTATGTCACCACTATGTTGGTCGTGGGGCTAGAACTCTGAGCGCTCTACCACTTGAGCCACAGCGCCACTTCCGGTTTTCTGAGAGTCTCAAGAACTTTCCTGCCCGGGCTGGCTTTGAACCTCGATCCTCAGATCTCAGCCTCCTGAGGAGCTAGGATTTCAGGCGTGAGCCACCGGCGCCCGGCGACTCCTTTTTTTTTTTCTCCTTTTCTTTTGCAAGATGAGGAAAATATCTTCTGGCTTCAGAGTTGCTCTCGAGCATGCGATTGTGAATCTGCAGGTAACGCCGTCCCTCGGCTTTCACGATCAGCAGGCCTGCGGCAGGACGCCGAGGCCGAGGCCCGAACCCGGCGGATGAAGCCTGCACCTACCGCATCTATTCGGTAAATGGGCAAACTGAGACTCAGGTAAGTTCAGAGTACGGTGGTGGCGGCTGAACGAGGGCTCAGCTCACCTGAGAGGGGCCTCCTTGAAAGAGCTACGGGTCGCGGGAGCAGAGCTCAGCCGGTGACCGATCTCCCAGGGGCGGGACCGGCCCCGAGAGCGAGCCGTGACTCACTCTTCCCACCGGACTTTCGGCCCCGCCTGGGACTGGGCGCGGAGGGACAAACTACCTTCATTCATCTCGGGGGGTGTCCACACAAAGTTCACCAGCTTAGGCCCCCCTCCCTTTAACCAAAAAGACAGGCCATTTGAACTCTCATCAACATTATTCGTCTTTTCGCACACTTTGGGCGACGGTTTACACTTTTTTCCGTAGGATTTTCGCACTGAGTTTATGGGAAGATTTACCTTCATCTCTACCTCCCCTTGCACTTGGTTTGCTCCTGGCTGTTTACTCCCATTGCGGAAGTCGCTCGGGTGGAGTTCCCGGGACAGTACCTTGAGTACGTCTTTTGCGTACAGAGTTAACTGGCATTCCATTGCGACCAATGGAATGGCCAGCAGCCTAGGGCGGGTGAGACAGAGAGCCAATCAGAGCTCTTGGCGGGGTGTGGCTGCGTCCTGGGGCGGGGAATCACGTAATGGCGGACACAGGCCCGGCAGGCGCGGCTGGGGGCGTAGCGCGCTGAGAAGTGGAGGGGGGGGTCCGGCTGTGAGGTAGCCCGCGAGGCGGTCGGCTGGAGCCGACCGGGTGCGGAGGCTGGGCAGCCGCCAGCCCTTCCTGTGGCGGAGGGCGACTGCGCGAGGCCAGGTGAGCAACAAGTCCCCTTGGGCGGGTCCCCCCGAGTGAGGCGCGGGCCGCGGCCGGGCCGCCCCTCCGGACGGAGCGGGGTCGAAGGGGGAGTGGGCGCTGCGCCTCCCGCGGGGGACCCGCAGCGGCCCGCCGGCCGTCCCTCAGGGAGGGGGTGACCCGGACCCCCCGCCCCCCTTGGACACTTGGAGGGTCCCCGAGTGCGTGAGGCTGCGGAAGAGCAGCGGGCAGCCCCGGCCCTGCCACCACCCAGCGGCCGTAGCGTCGTGGGCCAGTCACTTCCCCGCTTCGGAGCTCAGTGTTCCGCGAAGAGTTGGTGGACAGAAGTACATGAATCGGGGTCCCGAGTGTTTCCTCAACTCCCGGACAAGTTCTTCTCCAGGCTGAGAGGACCCTGAAGTAATTTGAGGGCCCTCACCCCGCGGAGTTGGAGGGAGGCCCGCGTGCACGAGGGTGGGCTGCAGAACAAGGGGGGGGTTCGGCTTGAAATCGCCGGGTGCTAGCTACCCAGGTCTTGATGGGATGGAGGTGGGGAAGCTTTATGCAGTTGCACCTAGATTGAGGGAGGTGAGGAAGAGATGCTTGGAGCCTCTGGGGGCTGAGATTGGGATTTGGGACCAGAAGTGAGGAGGAAGATGAAGAAGATGGGTTGCATACTATGTGCCACAAACCTGGTTAGGCATACATTCTTGTTTAATTTTTTACAGCCCCCCCCCCGCCCCCCTTGAGAAGTTGCACTTAAGGAAACTAGGTTCCAGAGAAGTTTAGTAACTTACTCAGAGCCACACAGCAAAGTGTAGGCCAATGTGTGTTGTTTCCTCTAAGAGTTACTGGGCAGGGGTAAGTTACTGCCCACCTAAAGATAGGGAAGTGAGAGAGACAGAGGGACTGAGACTTTGACTTGACTTCTGGCATGGAGACTGGCTGGTCTTGATCTCCTGATTATTAATTAATGATTAATTATCAGCCCATCCCTTTTGTTCGTACTGTGAGTTGGAAAGAACCATTCTAGGTTTAAAATTCTCTCAGAGTCATTTTAAAGTGCCATAACTTCAGAGAATTCAGTATGTATCCTGTTTAGGTGTCCTGGTGGGAAAAGTTCACAGCTCTTAGGGTATAGACTTGACTTTTAATTCAGGGTGATGCTAGCCTAGTTTTTTTTTCTCCTCCTTAGGAAGGCTAAGAGGTATTGAGATAGAGAGATTTACCATTTGTTAGTTCAAGTTTCTTTGGATTCCTTGGGTGTAAAAGTTCAGTAGCCTGCCTGTGATTAAGCTTAGTATTTTTTGTTGTTGTTCTTTATTGTCAGACTTTATGTGGTACTGGAATTTGAACTCAGGGCCTCATGCTTACTAGAGCAGGAAATTCTACTTCCATCATGTTGTCTGACTTTGTTGATGATCCCCTGAAGACTGTGAACTTGGGGTATGAAGTAGTTGGGTACAGTAAATTTGCAGCCCTTAATATCTTCCAAAACCCAGACTTTTGGGTTAATCAAAATGGTTTAGGCCTGGGTATTGTTCTCATATGTCAATGCTGGGGAAGAAAATTGGAAGAGGAAGTTGCAGAGAAAGAGGGCGGTTCTTAGCAGTGGAGCCAATATGTATTTTCTTTGTTTGACATTCTAAATCGAGAACAGCCTCAGCTAGAGGAGGAAGGAAGGAAAGAACTGTGTAACTCCTCTTCCTGTTCAAAGATCTTTAAGAGCTGACCCTGTCCATGTGAGAGGCTCTGCTCTTGCAGAGAAAGTCAACTGTAATTTGTTGGGTGTTTCAGAAATGGTCTAGAATGAGGTAATTTTAAGCCCATAGGGTTTTTTTTTTTAAGTCAACATTTACTGAATAAATTACTTATTACTGATGATTCATTTCCTCAGCATATTTACTAGTTCGGTTTTGGGCTGTGTTTTTTCTATGATTAAATCAGTGGACATCAACCTAAGAGGAATTGACTTATCTATTGGGGGATATAAGTGTTACCATCACTTGAAAAATATAATGGTGTTTTGACACTTATTTTTTTTTGTATTTATATTTTTTTCTTTTGAGACAGTCTTTCTATGTAGCTCAGCCTGGCCTGCAGGGGCAGGTCTCCTGCTTCAGCCTCCTGAGTGCTGGGATTACAGGTGTATACTACCATGTCCTGTTTTGACATTCATTAAAAGTTCTTAATGCTTTGTTTTCTACAAATGTGTGTGGAGACTCAATTCATTCCATGTGAAGGTCTACATTAATTGTGAGTATCATATTAGTTTTAATTAGTTAATATACAAATCGATAGTATGTAATTCAAAATCCTTCATGCCAAAAAAAGGTACTTAGTGCCAGAGAATTTTTTGTTTCTGTTGAGGGATTTGAACTCAGTGCTTCATGTGTGCTAGGCAGGCACTCTACCACTTGAGTCACATCTCCCGTCCCCAGGTAATGTTTTTGAATTGAGAACTTTGAGAATTAGAGAAAAGAAGTATGGATATGTACTATATATATGTAAAACACTAGAAATGTGGGCTGGGAATGTGGCTTAGTGGTAGAGCGCTTGCTTAGCATGCATGACGCCCTGGGTTCTATTCCACAGTGCCGCATACAGTGGAAAAAGTGGAAGTGGTGCTATGGCTCAAGTGGTAGAGTGCTACCCTTGAGCAAAAGAAGCGCAAGGACAGTGTCCAGGCCCAGGCCTGGCAAAAAATAAATAAGTAAATTAAAAAATAAAACACCAGAAATGTTTAGATCCTTAAGTTGTAAAAGAAGCTCAGGACAGTGGCCCTGACTGGCAAAAACAAAACTTATAGCAAGAATAATAAGGAAAAATACTGAGCCATAGGGTAAAATATTATATAACCAAGTTAATGCCAAACTCCTAAAAATAGTATATGTAGAAGAGGTTTGTGGTTTTGATTTTTATCATGTAAAGATCTTAACATGCCAGGCGCTGGTGGCTCATGCCTGTAATCCTAGCTACTAGGAGGCTGAGATCTGAGGGTCGCGGTTCAAAGCCAGCTCAAGCAGGAAAGTCCATGAGACTCTTATCTCCAATAAACCACTAGAAAACTAGTGAAAGTGGTGCTGTGGCTCAAGTGGTAGAGCGCTCGCCTTGAGCTGAAGAGCACAGGGAAGTGCCCAAGCCCAGAGTTCAAGCCCCACAACCGACCAAAAAAAAAAAAAAAAGATCTTAACATTACCTCAGTACTGCTAAAATAAAAAAAAATCTTACTCTACTTAAAGCATCTGACTTCTTTTTTTTCCTTGAGGCAGGTAGGGGTGGCAGGTCTGTAGCAAGTAGATAATCCAGGCTGCCTTTGAACATAAGATCCTGTTGTCTCATCCTCCAGAGGGCTCGTGCTACAGGTATGCATCACCATGCTGGGCTTGCTGATGTGCATTTTAACTTAAGTGTCAAATTTGTCTCTAAATACTGTCACTGGCTTGATATATATTTTTTTTTTTTTGGTCTAGTCGTGGGGCCTGAACTCTGGGCCTGGGTGCTATCCCTCAGCTCTTCAGCTCAAGGCTAGTGCTCTACCACTTGAGCCACAGCACCACGTCCAGCTTTTTTCTCATGTGGTGCTGAGGATTTGAACCCAGGGTCTCAAGCATGCAAGGCAAGCGCTCTACCACTGAGCCACCTTCTCAGCCCACTGGCTTGATATATTAAAATGACCTCTCTACCTTTTTTCCCCCCCCTTACTTTCTTCCTTTTCTGTGGTGCTCATGGCCTTCTATGTGTATTCTATTTCTGAGCTACATCAGGAGCTCTGCTTACATCTCTTCCACTTTTTTTTTTTGTTGGTTGTGAGGCTTGAACTCTGGGCCTGGGCACTGCCCCTCAGCCTTTCAGCTCAAGGCTAGTGCTCTACCATTTGAATCACAGTGCCACTTCAGGCTTTTTTCTGTTTATGTGGTACTGAGGAATTGAACCCAGGGCCTCCTGCATGCAAGGCAAGCACTCTACCACTGAGCCAACTTCCCAGCCCCAGCTCTTCAGCTTTTGAGCCACAACACCACTTCTGGTTTTTTGGTGGTTAATTGGAGATAAGAATTTCACAGACTTTCCTGCCCAGGCTGGCTTTGAACCTTGATCCTTAGATCTCAGCCTCTTGAGTAGCTAGGGTTACAAGTGTGAGCCACCAGTGTCCGGCTTGCTCAACATGTTTTTTTTTTTTTTTTGGTCGGTCATGGGGCCTGAACTCGGCATGGGTGCTGTCCCTCAGCATTTCAGTTCAAGGCTAGCGCTCTACCACTTGAGCCACAGTGTCACTTCTGGCTTTTTCTGCTTATATGGTGCTGAAGAATTGAACCCAGGGCCTCATGCATGCAAGGTAAGCACTCTGCCACTAAGCCACCTTCCTAGCCCATTGTTCAACATTTTTTTGAGTGGCTGGAAGTATGACTTAAGTGATCGAGTACCGGCCCTGAATTCAAACCACAGTATCACTGGGGGAAAAAAAATTTTTTTTTTGTTAGTCAAGGGGCTTGAGCTCTGGACTTGGACGTTGTCCCTCAGCTCTTCAGCTCAAGGCGAGCACTCTACCGCTTGAGCCACAGCCACACTTCCAGGTTTCTACTAGCTTATTGGAGATAGGAATCTCATGGACTTTCATGCCTGGGCTGGCTTTGAACCGTGATCCTCAGATCTCAGCCTCCTGAGTAGCTAGCATTACAGGCGTGAGCCACTGGCGCCCGGCTAATTTTTAAAAATTCATTTGCTACTGGTATTGACATGAATTGAGTTAGAGTAGAATAGGACTCAGATTTATTTTTTCATACACTTAAGATAGCTTTCCACGACATTTGTGGTTTTTTTTTTTTCTTTCTTTCTTTTTTTTTTTTAACTCCCCCATGAGGCTTGAATTCAGGGCCTGAGTGCTGAACCTGAGCTTCTTGTGTCTTTCGTGTTCAAAGCTCTACCACTTGAGCCACAGCGCCACTTCCAGCTTTTTCTGCTTATGGGTGCTGAGGAATCGAATCCAGGGCCTCATGCATGCAAAAAGCAAGCACTCTACT